TGAAACATAAATCCATGTTGAAGATTTTTTTTTCATACTTAAAAAGGGAACTAGAGTCAATAAGATGGAGTTAAAAATAGTATTGATACTTAATGTGATAACTTCAAAATCACCATTTTCCACCATGTCATTGGGATTCTCATTCAATTTTCTTTTTCTCGATTTGCAATTTTAAAAAAATTGCATTATTAAGTCAACAAAAAAATTTCTTGATACTAAATTATGATTTGATATGCCAAACTACAAGGTAATGGGGTTGAAAGCTTTTTACTTCTACCCACCTCATAAGTATCAAAATATTCTTCAAAATCCTTTCTTGGTTGGTCTGTGAACTTTTCAACACCCATTCATAAATGCTGTTAATTATTAGCACCATTTGCTTAAAAATATTACTTATAGTTTTCTACTATTGGATGTTGTTCCAATAATGCAATCTTGGATATTTGGGCTTATTACTAATTTTTAGTTTTGTAAGAATTTTACTGTAACAGCTTCATACGGCTCATAATCATATTTACATCAGCTGATCTCTATCAACACAAATTGTGTGCTTTCTGATTATAAATTTAAATTGCTTGAATAATTTAAATGTTGAAGTCTTGGCAAAAGAAAGTGGCTTGCTTTTTAATTTCAAGATTTAAATTATCTAAAGTAATCTATAATTACTTTTTGAAAGAACAAGATTTTCACCATTTTAAAAATTTTGCTTGTCTGATGCTTCAAGAAAAATTCAAATTGGTTTTCTAATAGCTTATTTGAGATTTATAATAAATTTCTTTTACTTTCTTTTTGTGTCAAACTCAAAATAGATTTATGTTCTTTAATATCTCTAAAAACATAAATGCATTTTCAATAAAACTATTTAAAGAATTATTAGCTTTTCGGATTATTTTCAGTAACATTATCTTGTTTTTATGGAATTGCATCAGTGCAGCTATTTGCATTTGTCACTCTCAGAATTTAAAAACAAAAAAACAATTGAAATATTAATTAGTTCATTTTTTTTTTTTTTCTGGCTAAAAAATTTTAGAGATGTATCATTTTGAGATTTATATCTTGAACAAATAATATTGATCTGATAACCTTGAAATGTTCTGTCAAAAAGCATAAGATTATTTCTAATTAAGCTTTGTATGTCATAACTTTTCATTAAAAATAGTTTTAGGGACTCACAAGACAGTCAAGAGATTAAGATTTTATTATAATTGAAAACCATTTTAAAACAAATTCTATAGCATAGAAAGAAAGAAAAATTATTAAATTATCAGACTTTGCAGGTAAAACCTGTTTACAGGATATATAAAAAAATGAATCCTTATTGGAGATGTTATTTAACACAAATCTACATTAAGGAATATTGCTTCTAAATACCTATTCAATTTTGAGGTAGCAAATTGACTTATGCTGGAAATAAATTCTGTTTGTTTTTTTGTTTTTTTTTAATATACTAATGTTCACCCAATACAAATCCCAGGAGACACTCAAGGTAGAGGGTTACAGTGTGAAGCTATATAAGCATAAATAAGTACAAGCATTAGGAGTATAGAGTTGAAGTAGGTATACCAAATTAGTAGAGATACCTAAAAAAAAACAAAAAACAACCCCCCCCCCCCACAACTTTCAGGTTTATTCTGCAGCCATTATGTAAGCAGTTTGGATAAAAAATGTAGACTAAGCCTCTGGCAAGATTTAAAAAAAAAACAAAAAAAAACATTACTTAAGAGCCTGTTTTACCATGACAACACTTTACTGATTAGGCTACAAACATCTTACCAGTAAATGTCACTGAATTAACCTCTGTAACCCTGTTTGTTTTCTTCCATCTCCATTACACTGCCATGATGTTATTGACTTACTACATTCATAGAGCATTAGTCTTTAAACTTCTGAGATAGATGAAGTGTTATTAACTTCATAAAAATGTTTGAAAGAAATCTGCTACAATTTGGTAAACACAGTCACATGTAGAAGCATCTGATGAGGATCAAAATTATGAAAATCAACTTGTTAATTCCTATTTCATGTTGAGATGTCCAAACCTCTCTTGGTTTCTCTCTGATGACAAAATGACTCTTATCAAATCCTAATGTTAAAGTCTCTCAGTTTACATTTTGTCTCTTTTTTTTCTTATAAGTTCAATGAAGATAAAATTTCATCTTGTGTTAATTCATTGAAATTACAGGAACAAGTATCCTATAAATCTTTCTTTTTTTTCTTTTTTTTAATGTCATTATCATTCAACAGTGATACATGATGGGGTTCTTTAACAAAAGAAAGAACTGAAAACATCTCCTCATTAGAAATTATGGAACAAGCTGCATTGTATGTTTTGCTGAAAATAGAGCTACTTATTTTATAAATATTGCTGTTAATATTTAAATTTTCTGTTTACAACATGTGAAAAGACCCCCATTTTTCTTCTTTTTTTTTTTTTAAATTTCCACTACAAATAATTTTACTATTTAAATCTTGGGAAATGTACAGATTTCTCTTTTTTTTTCTTTTTTTTTTTATAAACAACAATAACAAAAAGTCAGAACTGATGTGACAAGTATGACATTGTATTTCTGTATACGTTAATAAAAATACTTTGACTTGTAGAAATGCTGATATTCTCCAAATCTTTATCCTTTTCTCTATTTTCTCTTTCTGTTTACAAACTGGAAATCCTGGGAATATAGTTAAGGGAAAGAATTGGATCTCTTTTAGTTTAACTGACTAGCCTTCAGCAAAATTTGAATATTACATCATCATCTACAAACAAAAGCCATTTGTAATGTCTTTCCACTTCCTGTCTTCTCCATTTACCATGAATTATATTTAATGAGTCACACAAACTGTTTGCTTTTATTGACTTTCAAGAAGAATGGCGGACAAGAGACTAATACTTTAATACACAGACCTTTATAATTAGAAGTGGGTAAATCAAGAATTTAACAATGTGTGTTAAACTTAATTTTGATGGTTTATGTCATACTAATCTTAATGAATCAGTGACTATTGTTCTTGGAACAAAAATGAAATTGCATTTTTTTTATATTCTAGTTTTATCATTGATTTCAAATTTGTAACTAGTGGATTCTGAAAAACTTTTTCAATTGTTTTGGTTTAATTTCTATATATTTAAGTTATACTTGTAATGTTTGTAATTCTTTTCAAAATTTGAATGTTTGCATATTCTTAGTATAACTATTTTGCAAAGCAAGCACAAAATGTTTAATTCACATTTATATGAAACAAAATGATTGATTTCATCTAAACTTTATTATCTGTGTCTTAGCTGAATTTAAATGATGTTGATATGGAGTTAGGATTTTTAAAAACACTGGGAAATTTTTATTAGAAACTTAAGGAAAACGGGAAAATTTGAATTAAAATCACTTCATCATTCAAAAAATTGGGGTACTGAGTCAAAATAGTAAATCTTTAGAAACATTTTAATATAGTGAATATTATAGTTAATTCTTTTATGAACACAAAACCTTTGGTTTAGAAAGGATTTACTGTTCTTCTTCGATAATCAAAAAATAATCTTGCAGCATTTTAAATTAAAATGTATACAAATATATTTTAAATTTTATTGAATAGTGGTCAATGTACAAGAAAAAAAAATGTTCAACTCTTTATTTACAGTAATTCACTGGCTTATTTTAAAAAATTCAGTTTTGTATTGGAAATTATCCCAGAATAAGAAAGCCTGATCAATGTTAGTGTGTTATAGAAATCCTCTCATTTGTTAATTTTGAAAGCTTATCTTTCTTGTTTACTTTGTTTTCAGTTTTCTTGCCACCTTCACAAATTTGGTTATAGAACATTTTTCCTCAAAGGAACCTTCACATTGTCTACAAAATCTCTACATTTTTCATTAAAGCAATTTAAGACCAACATTCATATTTCTTCCTCAATGTAGATCTTTTGAATTTCCTCCATCTTTAAAACAGTCTTGCCTAAATTTCTTTGATATCATCGATTAATTGTGTCAACACAAGTATTTAAAAGCTAATCCAGCAAGTTCTCTGCCATAAGCTGATTATCTGGACATGTCAGATTTTATGATGCCAGTCAATGTTTTCACAGTAAAATAGATATTAACCAAACAATATATGTAAAATTGCCAAGATATATGAGCAATGAATTAGTTTGGAGAAAAATAACATTATGATCAATAAATATTTTCATGGTGAAAATGAAAATCATTGATATCTAAAATGCATTGGCTAAAGATCACATTAAGTAATGAGTACACAATATTTAACTGATAAATTTTGAGGGGCAAACAATTTTAATCACAAGTTTTTTTTATACTTTTTGCTTTTCTCAGCAGCAAGAAGAAATGGCAACTTTATTTATCATTCTAAATACTCTGAATCAAGAGCTAAACTATTGTTGATTTGACTAAGACTATTAAGAAGACAATATAAATAGTGGCCTATTTAGTTTTTACTTGAAAATATTCATAAATATGTGTTTAACTAATTGTTTTAACATTTTGTGTTTGAAATGTTAATTTCCTTTCTTAAGCATTTTTTTTTTTAATTCTAAATTCTCTTTCATCAACATTTTCTTTATTTCCTTCAGAATAATATTTGAGCCAAAATGGCAGAAGAAAATGGCAAGTTACTCTTGTCAGATAAAAAAAAATTGTTCAATGATTGGTTATTGTTTGCCTCTGCATATTATGCTACACATTATCGATATTTGAATTATCTTTTGTTGTTTTACTTTTCAAAGGATCGACAACCACTAAAGCTGTCAGCAATATGAAGAATTAAAAACCAGAACAAAAAAAAAAACTTTGGTCTAGCATATGTTTTTTCTTGCTCTTTCATATATTTATAGCTGTCTGTACAATTTCCATTTTAAAAACTATTGTTTCCTAAAATATGATTCATCTGTACCCACTTTTAGTTCAGAATATTTTCCTATCTCTCTCTCTCTCTCTCTCTTTTTTTTCTTAATTACCTAATACTGGCTTTCCTTTTTTCTCTTCTCTCCCAAGAATGAGGAAATACAAGTGGTACTGTGTATTAGAAGTAGAGAGAGTGAAAGTTACCCTTCCTCGCAGGTGCTCCACCAAGACAGCACTTTTTGACTTGGGTTACAATACCTTCCCTCAGCTGTTAAAGCACATTTGCACACTCCCATTTTTTTTTCTTATTCTATTACTCTGTCCTCTCTCTCTCTGCCCTGCAACTCTTGCCTATGACTACCTACCTGTCTTCTTTTTTTTCTATCATCATCATCATATCAAGTGTGTTGTTAAGAAAACTCTTCTCTTTCTTCGTCTCTTTTTGTCTCTTCTACTTCTGCCAAATCCTTTTGACTGGTGTTTTAGCAATCTAGGCATGTTGCCATTGTCAGTAACATGTCACACAGAATCTATGGCCAACCTTCTTTCTTGATAATGGCTAATAACCTTTCACAGATAGCACTGGCCAATAATAATAATTATAACAACAATAGTAATAATATTATTCAGTACCAAGGAGAAAGTATTTTGAGTCCAGGTGTGTAACTCAGAAGTGGTTTTAGCCTGTGGGACTATTACTACTACTAATACTAATAATCATCATCATCATAACAACATGCAACAGGTAAGTTCTTGCTTGGTTTTTCATGTTTTTACTTATCTTTGTCAAAAGCAGCTAAGCTAAATTATGTATTAGACATGATAATATGCTTAAAATTAATGTTTGTAAAAATAGTTTTATTTGATTTTTGATTTTAAGCAGTTTTCATTATCTGTTTTGGGACAGTAAATTGATTGTAGAATGTTTACATAGTTAAAATTATTTTAAGGGTTCAATATTTTGAGTTCATGCTTGAACAAATGCTTCCAAATTTGGTTTCTGTTTTACAATGTTTACATTTTCTTACTTATTACATGTCTACACACATAGACAATTAGAGAAGTATGCTTAAAACAAGTATTCTAGAATTTGAAAGTTGTTGAGGAGCACATAAATAAATAAAGTAGCAATGGTTTAAACCATAATTAAATATAAAGGTAACAGTAAACAATTTATTTGATTAGAAATCAGTAAAAAAAAAAAAAAAGAGTGTCTTAAAATGGAAATTAGAACTATTTTATTTTGTAATATGTCTGGAACATGTGATTGCATCTGACTACAAACTTCAGACTAATTCTAATACAGTAGATGTTACAAAGAAATTCAGTAAGAATGGTTTTTGAGATTAGGGTAATGTATACAAAAATACAAATGTAATATAGTTGTTTTCATATCTTTACAATTTGCTAAATTTTAGAGTTGAATTAAACTTCTTAAAAGTATTCTTATTTGATAAAGCTTAGATTCAAATATTGTTAAATGCACCTTTTTATATTGTGTGTGTCAAGATGGTTTCCTTTTGTTATGCCAAACTATTTGATATCCACAAGTCCATATAATAAAAAAAACCCTGTCCATAAATATTGTTTATGCATCCATTTAATTCATTATCTGTCCATTATAATTTATTTCAAAAAATTTATTTTATGTTATCCATTTAAATATTGTTTTATTTCATTATCTGTTATATTTCATTCACTCAGTATTGTCCTCTGCTTCTTTAAATGATGTTTATAGTTGCAGATGAAAACATAAATATATTTAGTTTTCTTTTGCTGTTAATTCATCTTTGTGCTGGATTGTTTTGTATGCAATAAATGCATAAACCCTACTAAATTAACTGATCATACTCTTAAGATTTCTACAATAAAGGCACCAGAATAAAAATTCTCATGATTATAAAAGTTATAATTTTAATAAATGAGCAAAACCATTTGCCTCTTTTATCCTTAAAATCTCCTCTACTCTTGATTTTCTGTTGTTTTTTTTTGTTTTTTTTTTTATATATATAGATTACTAAGAAATAACAAAAACAAAAAGTGACACTTGAACTATTTTAAATAATTTTTTCTTAATATATTTGGTTTATATTTTAGTCAGCATAAAACCAAGAATATTAAAAACATTAAGAAGACAATGTGGACAAACTTAGAAATTTTTATTATAATTCCTTTTTGTTTTGTTTTTCATTTTCTTGAAATAAAAGCTTTTTTACTTGTTTATAATTTTCTGTATAATGATTTTTCTAAGAAAATTATATATATATATATATATATATATATATGTGTGTGTGTGTGAGAGAAAATGCTAAAAAAAAATTCTTAAATTATCAAGCAATGAATAGTTTCATTAATGTTTAGTGTCTGTATTTAACATTCTTTTCAATTTGTTTTAAAATTTCCCAAATGACATGGTACAAGTTTATAAAACGCAATAACCAAAATTGTAATGGTACAAAGGACAAACTATAATGAATATCATTTCCTTTTTCAACATCAAGGAGAAATTTAATGATGAAAATTTTTAATTAATTTTTCATAAAAATGCAGTTTATTTTCTTGACACTTGATTTTTACTTATTACAACAAATTGTGTCTTTTGATTAATTCCAAATTTTACTGGCATCAAATGAATAATTTTTACTTTTGGTTTCCTATAAAAATTCACAATCTTAAAAAGCAGACCCTTGATGTTTGGGTATATATAGTGGCAGGTCTGTCTCTTCTGAAGTAATGAAGTTTCTGAGAAGGCAATCTTTATTTTTAGCATTGTCTATATCAGTCTGTCTAGGGTATAGCAACCTGTGTTAGTAGGGCTAAAAAGCTAGTCACTTAGCCAGCCTGGGCAAGCAGTTTGTTGGTCTCTTCCCAAATAGCCTTACATAATACTTACTAAAACTTAACAATTGGCTCAAATTTGTCTGCTAATGTTGAACGATTCAAATTTAGTATTTTGGGTGTATTGATTATCTCTCTCTCTCTCTCATATACATTCATACATATATACATATCTAATTCTTGTCTGAATTTTGTTAGATTGAAAAGAAATTTATTTTCTGTACCATGTCTCTTCAAGTTGTGAATGATCATGGTTCTCTACAACTTCCTTTCCTTTGTAGCACTTAACAATATTTGATTTTTACTCTTTCCCATTCTTACATTTATTTACAAAGGTTTGGTAGGTGGGTGTATTTGCTGTTTCTCTCTGATCCACTTTTCCTTCAATATGTTCTGGTGGGTGTCAAATTCTCCAAGCCCTCTTTCTTCATGTATCATAGAAAATTCAACCTTCTTCCTGATTTTGGTTTCCATTTTTCTTTAAACTTTTTTATTGCTCACATTCTCCATCCATGGTGTTCTCAGCATCCTTCTGTAGAACAACATTTTTGTTGCTTGAAGTCTCCTCTTTACCTGTGAGGAAACTGTCCAGCATTCACTGCCATATAGGAATATTAATATTACGTAGCAGTTCAACACTTTTCCTTGTTTTTAATGAAATTTTCCTGTTTCTTAATTTCTTAATACATTGTTTGTCTTTTGGGAAGCATCTTTTGCTATTGCAGTATGTTTCTGATTTCGAGGTGACATTTCCCACTGTCTGTTAAACACTTTCCAGATGGTTCTATTTCTATACTTGTTTGAGTTTAGCATCGCCAATTTGTAGCTTGCATCTTGGGCTGTTCCTATTTTGCTGACAACAATACATTCTGTCTTCTTACAATTGATAGTTAGTCCTTTCTTCTCTCTTTCCTTAATTACTTTGTCTAGGAGTTCTTGCACTTTTCTTTGTGTATTTGCCAACAACACAGTGTCTTCTGCATGTCTTGGGTTGTTAAGATTGTACCCATTTAGCACAAATTTTGCAACATCCTTTCCAAAAAAAAAATATTTGAAACTGACATTCAGTTCTATACAGTCCCCTGGGTGTTATCCATTGATTTGCATGAAGGTGCTCTTTAGTTCATGAATTGACAACTGTTTAGGGTGGGCAGAATGTGGCTTATCCCACATATTGCTATTGTCACCTGCTACCTGTGTTCACATTCACTGTTTGGTCTCTGTTAATATTTGATGAACGCCAATAGGTGTAATTTTTTCCCAATGGAAGAATTCAATGACAATAAAGAACAATTTAATCTAGCAATCAATATTCTGTATATTATGTTTTTAAGAACTTTGGTGAACTGTGTTATCCTTATAACTATCAATCTATCATCTTTTTAGTTCTATTTGGCAAAGTACTCCAGCGTTTTTCAAACTCTTTTTTTTTTTTTTACTGAGACCCTCAGCAAGAAACACATTTTCATTACAACCAATTATCCCTACATGTAATAAATCAGACAAACTCTGTTCATTTATTTAGCATTTACAATTTATATGTATATTTATATTTTGTATGATTTGCATATATTGCAATTGCATGTATCTATTTGTATGAATATAAAATTATTACTTTAAAAAAAAAATATAGCATGTTCTTAAATTTTGCCAAAACAACAGCCAATTCACCAAAAATTCTGAGATTTCAAGTTAACACGACACATCATCTTATATGTTTTTTGTACCCTCAAGAACACAGAAAAAATGTACCAGTACTCAACTTCGATATTGAGTTGGGAAATTCACTTTTAGCTCTGACTTCAGATGCAATTGAATTATTCAATAATCTTAATGACTTTCACCAGACATGAAGACTAATGCACTGCACACCTTCAGAGCTAAGTTTTGGCATGGGGGTCTCTTTGTGAGAGAGAATTGACATCACTCAGTCCGCAATGAGTTTAATGAACAAGATACATAAACTCAGTAAGGACATAAAATACATATCTATCTATCTATATATATATATGTTTGTATGTATGTATGTGTGTGTGTTAAAAAAAATATAATACGAGTTTACCTCAGTGAAAAACTAGCAATGATTTATGGGTGCTATGCAACATTTAGAGTTATTTATATTCTGCACTTTGCTCTCATTTGCGTATTTTTTTTCTTTTTGATTGCAACCCATTTTATTTATGTAAGTCTGATCGATACACTAAGGTCAAATTGGCAGCTGATCTAAAAACTGAGCGTCAATCTGTTGTTAACTAGAGCAAGAAATATCTTGTTAATTTTAATGCCTCCAAAATGAAACAGTTTTCTTTTAATCATCTTAGAGAACCTTTATTGCCTTTTACCAGCATGGCTCATACTTACTTTCAGGAAATAACTCATTGTGCTGCCTTAGACTAATGATTTCCACTAACATGAAGTGGAAAGATTATATTGAATTAATTACTAGGTCTGTGAGGAAAGTTGGTTCACTGTATCATACTAAACAATTTTTCTTTCCAGAATCTCACACATTTATAAGTCTGCTATTGATTTGTGCATTGAATATTGCTATAAATATTTTCACGGTAATTCTTTTAATGAGTTTTTATCTTTGGTGCCATGATTTTATGAATTTAAGCATAGTACTAGATTGGCAGCTAGGTCTCATAACCATGATTTCTATACTAACAATTTTTTATACCTTTTTTCTTGTGGATCTCTCTTTCATCTTATTGCTTTCCAGTCAACTTTGATCTTCAAAAGTTTAAATGCAATGTCAATTATCATCTGTTTCCTTGAACCTTGTTCTTTTATTGCCTTTTCTCTTGTTAATGATTTTTCTCATTCTTTCACTCTCAGTAACCCCTTGTGTCATATGGCTTTATTGCCTTGCTTGGGGCTGAAGTGATTAAAAACAAATTATTTGAAACATTATTTTCCTGATATATCAATCATTTTAAAGAAATTAGTTTTAATTATAATAAATGGCTATTATATGCTACTTTGTGTGATTGAGAGGTGGCAGTTGGATATTTCTAATTCTATATGGATATCCATTTCCAAACTACAAGTCTCCTAAATATTTTATTTGTAAAACTGGTTAAAAATAGATTTTTAAATTTTTGCCATAGTTTGCAACTTCATTTGAACTATTTATACAAAAAATCCTGAATTAAACTAATAAGTGATTCCCAGAGTAATTGTTTTTGGTCATTTAGTTAGATTTTTTGGGAAATGTAGTAGGACCAGAACTTTTCATCACTCCCTAAAACTTTTTGTCAATTATATAAAATGGGTAAATTTAGCTTAATAAATGTATGCTGTAATGTAAACTAAGTTTTCTCAGGCCATATCCTTCTCCTCTCTCTCCTCCTTGCTCTTTTCCTTCTCTCTCTCTCCTTGCTCTTTTCCTTCTCTCTCTCTCCTTGCTCTTTTCCTTCTCTCTCTCTCCTTGCTCTTTTCCTTCTCTCTCTCTCCTTGCCCTTTTCCTTCTCTCTCTCTCCTTGCCCTTTTCCTTCTCTCTCTCCTTGCCCTTTTCCTTCTCTCTCTCCTTGCCCTTTTCCTTCTCTCTCTCTCTCCTTGCCCTTTTCCTTCTCTCTCTCTCTCCTCTTCGCCCTTCTCTCTCTCTCTCCTCTTCGCCTTGCCCTTCTCCTGTTTCTCCCCCTCCTTGTCTGTTTTAGTGAGTATATTTTAGTATCATTTAAATTTGTTAGGTATATATAGCAAAAAATTTCCATGATATTACATCATTTTTGAATTTTTCAAATTAAAATTCTCTTACATATCAGTGAAAAGGTCTTTTTCAAAACTTTTTTTTTTTGATTCTGCAAAGTTTACTAATTTCTATAAAAACAATTTTATATATGTAAAATTGATATATATTTTGTTTTTATTTTTGTGTGAGTTTACAAATATTGAATTGATTACTTTACATTAATTGTATATATTAGTTTTAAAATAGTAACTGAAGTAATTGAATTTGGGCAGATATAAGAATGTAGAGTTGTGTGTCTGTGTATGTATTGGCAAACATAATTCTCACATTAATCAGAATTATCTCCCTTAACAGCGAATTCACCTAAACAACAACTGAAATATTGAAAAGAGAAATAAAACTAATTCCATTTATATTCTCACTCCAGACAAGTAGAATTTTAATTAACGTAACAACTTATTCAATGATTACATGTGCTGTACAAAATAAAGAAAATTTTCATTCTTTTAACATTGAGTAATATTTCAATAAATTGTTTTGGTGTTATAGGCAGAGCCTCTGACATATTTTAGTGGAAAAAGGTATATTTTTTCATGAGATTTTAACATACTATAATTGCAAAAAATATTGGTCATTTTTTACTTAGTATATGCATCTAAACTGGGTATGCAATTAAAATGATCTTAAAAATTATTCATCTGTCAGATAGATTAGACAAAAGCGTTTTTCTAAATGAAACTAAACATTATTGTAAATTAAAATATATTTTTTTAAATTATGTCAATTCCTTTGCTTAATTTTTTATTAATCTTTTTAGCATAATCTTTTAATGGGACTTAAAATTAAATGGAATAATATTGTCTAAGATGCTGTTCCTTTACTTTTAATTGACTTTACATAACTATTCTACTTTGAAAAACTTACTTTGCCATTGATAATTTTATGTCAAGTCATATTTACATTAACATTTTTAATTTATCTGATATATATAATTTCTTAAATATTCTCAATTCAGTTTTTCCCAGTTTGTATCAAAAGAAAATGTCATTTTATTTCTGTCATCAAAATTATCTTAATTGATATAGTTTTGCCAACTTTAGGAATAGTTCATAACAAATATAGGGAGGACTTTGTTGTTGAATTTGTTGTGTGATTTATGGTCAGGGTTAGTGCTAAAAGGTCCTTGGCTCAACCCTGCTTATGACCAAATTGCATTGAAACCACTGGTTCTCATTCAATTGCTGCAGTTAAACTCAATCAATGTACAATATGAAATATGTTTAGACTTTAAATAATCCACAAAGGGTTGAGAAGAGCATAACAATCAATCAATCTAGGCTCAACCTATTTCCAAAATCTGACAAAATATTAAATTCTTTTATTTTTGTTTTTAGAAATGCTTCATATTGTACTTCCTAGTCAATTCAATATCTCACTCCATTTTGTTATGAATTTGACTTAAATGATATGCTATTCTCTTATGATCTCAGTTGAGTAAGTTTTTAATCAAACTAAAATAAAAAAAAAGTATATATTGAGAATAAACACTGAATTATTAACAAAACTATCCACAACACTTAACTGAAAATCAATTACCTATATTTTCAGACTCACTTTATGTGAATAAATTTTAAAATAATATTAATTTTACACAGTTGTAAATAATTCACTTTTGCATGTTAATACCAGAAATGAATTAAGTTTAAATAACAGAATTATCATTTGTGACAATTTTGACTAATTCTCCATATATATATATATATATATATATATATATAGTTAAAGATACACTGACTTATGTTCTAAAGAATCATCTTTGATATTTTAATATAAATTTGAAAAGGAATATATTTTACGAGAGATTAGAGATCCAAATTTTCTAGTTTTTTGAAAATTCAAGGCAGGGCATTTCTAATCAGCAAAAAATTCTCATTTAATTTTATGATTTCAATGAAAAATAATCTTACAATTTGTTAACACACATTCCAAATCTGATCCTTAATTTTAGCTTGATACATGTACAATTGAAGAATCAAAAATGATTTGTTTCTAATGAATATATTTAAATTATTTATAAGTATGAATTTTTACATATGACAAAAATAATTGGATTTTCTTGAATTCTGTTAATAAACTTCATCTTCACATCTAATCTTCCTTAACTCGTTTCTATTTGAAAAATTAGTTAAATCATAAATGTTTTTCATTGATTATAATTTTGGTATGGCAATTATAAATTCCAACTTTGTAAACTTTTTTTGTTTTTATCAATTATGTATAAAGTAAAAGATGCCTTTCTAATAGAACTTTAAAGACAACATTTTAGAAAAATGATATTTTTAATTCCTTAAAATATTTTGAGTAGGTTTAGTAATATTTTTTTTAGATTATCCTATAAAAATTACAGATTTCTCATTTTTTGAAAGTTGAATGTTGTAATAACATTTTTAAAGATGAGATGTGCCTGTGAATTTTTTTTTTTTTTTTTTTTGCTGATAGATAAATAATATACAATGAATAATCATTGGTTCTTGTGATATTTTAACTACTTTTGTGCTTAAGCATTAAAAATGCAAATTATTTTGTATCATCAGTATCATCTTTTCCCCAGATTTAGTTTTTTTATCATTTTTGCTTTCTATTAATCATGGCAAGGTTAATTTATGCCTTGAAATATGTTGATTTGAAACAATATGATTATTAGGATTCTCTATAAAATGGCTTTCTATCAGCAGAAATCACTTACAGATTGTTTCTTTACATTCAGTTGCTGAGATAAGCATTTTTAAAAATTTTATAGTAATTCTGAAATGTTTGATTTTTGGTTGACAATAAATTTGATAATGAATCTGTTGCATATATAAAAGAAAGAAACAAATGAATTATTGTTTTGTTTATAGGATTTAATACACATTATAAGCATACAGAACATTGTATTATTATTATCACCGTAATTCCCCATGTATAATATACCTTCATCCATAATACACACACATAAAATTGTGCTTAAATTGTGGGAAAATGCTTCTACTCATGCACAATACACACCCCTTGTTTGGTAATCAAACCCTATAAATTGTACCCCCCTCTAATTTCATTACAGCCAGCATTTCCCTCTCTTATTTTCTAAAAAAAAATTGTTTTAAACATAGAATAATATTATTCTAATTTAGTTTTAATTCTTATTTTATTTTACAGCAATTTTTTAAAGATTTTTTGTAGCTGTGCATAATAGTTGATTTTGCTTATTATTTTTTAGAAAATTACACATGGGGAATTACAGTATATTCTAACTTTGGAGAGATGTTAGCATTTTTTGTCAATTAGATTTGATCTAAATAAATCTAAATTAACTGCTATAAAAACAGACTATTTTTATGTCATTGATCTAGATGTTAATTACATCCAGTTTCTGTAATGCATTTCATTTTTTTATTTTTTTTTTTATTTGGTGTTAAATATAGAAAACTTTGTTTAAAACTGATTTTTTTTAAAGAAAGTCTCATCAAATGATGTCCTACAGAATATTCCAATACAAATATCATTTGTCTGTTTCAATATCTCTTATTCCTATTTTTCACAATATTCCTTGTAAAGAGTTTCTTCTGCTGCCTTAGGATATATTAAAACAAGTATACCTTTATTATTTCTTACCACACAATGCTATTCAGTTTCATGCAATCCTCAAGAATAAACTAAAGGAGCCTGATGCTTTTTAGTGCCTGAAACTTAGAGTAGCATTATATGGTAAGGAATAAGGATATATATGTGCTTTTACAATTTATTATATATATTAACTCTGCTCTTTTACATTGAATACTGTTTTGTTTTGATTTTATTCTGATTATTTGCTGTGCAATATATATATATATATATATATATATATATATATATATATATACGCACACATACACTTGTACTTCAAATAAATGTTTCTTTATCTTTTTTTCTTTAGCTTATCTAAATATTTATAAAAACACCTACAAAAAATATTTATGAAATTTTGTGCTGGAATTGAAATAATTAAAAAAAATTGTATTGCTAAAAGAAGATATTTGAAAATACAGCCATTCCTGACTGTTTTTACTAATGTCATTTTTGCTTTTCTTGTGGATTTTTCTTTTTTACCCAGACAATAGTTTACTGCTTTTTTTATTTCATTTTTAGCATTTAATTTTTTTTTTCTTTTCAGCAAAGGAATTTTAAACAAAAGTTCATTGCCTTATTGAGAAGGTTCAAAGTATCTGAAGAGGTAAGAAACCATTTTTATGATGTTGTACATTACCCTGTTAAAAAAGTATATTTCAGAAGTGGCTACAAATTAATAAAAAAGTTTCTTTATAAAATGAAAACCACTCTTGTGTGGATGCTTACATAATTTTTTAAATTGATAAAATTACGTAAACTTATTTATACCTTTTTAACCTGTTAGTAAATGAATGAATACTTGTTATTGATGAATTATATCTTTTATTTAAAAACATCAAAAATTATTTATAATTGTATACACCAACTATGATCCAAATAACCTATTTAAAATCAATTTTGCTAAGTGAAATGAAAAGATAAGTAAAATGCAAACCAAACTGAGCTTGAGTGGAAGGGGGAGTGTTGTTTTTTTTTTTTAATTATTTATTATTATTTTGGCATAATCACGTCAGTCAAGTGAAAAAAGAATGATTGGCCCAATGTTTCATGAGTCTTCAGTTTTTATAATCATGTTAAAAAAAAAAAAAAATTTTTTTTTTTTTTTCTTTTCAAATTTTATAACTGACAGCACTTTGTCAAATATTTTATCCTCTATTTTGAGGAGTTGAACTTTTTCATTTAAGTTCCTTATTCCATAAGATGATATACAGACTTCTTTCCAAACTTTTTTACTTTGAAGGGAAATCTTTATTTTTTTTTTTTTTTCTGTTTAGCTTTTTAAATATACTATAGTAAATCTTTTTATTTGAAACCAAATATAAAGCTGTGAAAAAAATAACTTATGGAAATCATGACTGCATAATGTAAGTTTTTTGTTTTGTTTTTTCAACATTAATTATATTTTTTTAATTTAAACATTCAGACTTTACTCTTTTATAAAGCTGTTGTAAAAAGTTTAACAATTTAAGAGAGATTCTATATTTCAAGATGTTTCATCAAAAACGATTACGTTAAAGTATCTGTATGTTCCACTGATGAAAATTATCAAGTCATAAATCTATTTTATTGGCAGCTAGTCAACTTTTTATTTTATCCCTCCATCACAAGATTTCATGATCAGAATGTTGATTCTAAAATAGAATTTTTGTTGAATTTACCCAATATCTTCTTTCAGTTAACATTGCTAAATTTGGAAATCAGAAAAATAATGTACATCATAATTTGATTTACTTTTTAATGCAAGTTTTCTCTTCTTTTTTTTCTTTTTGTAATTCTTTTATGTTATTTACAGTTATTTGGTTCAAATCAATTTAAAAAGATAATTTTACCTTTTATAGATTAGTAAGCAGTGTCACATATTTAGTAAATGTAGATAGATTTACTTCAGAAATATGAAGTAGAATGCCATTATCAAGAAGATCTCATTAGAAATCATTACTTTAACTTTTTTATTATTATTATTGTTAAACATCTTGCCTAAAGATAGACTGTAGTATGGTATATTGAAACCAATAGATGTATGAGTCATGATAAAAGTATGGGAATCAATCCACTGTTCCAGTAAGAGTTACAGGAGGTGACTGATAAGACAACAAATAAGAAATTTAGTGAAAGAATTGGTATTCATAGACAGTTCTCAAGTCATTTACCAAGAATCTATGAGACTTCACATGAATAGTGTAATATTGACAATGAGGAACCTCCACTATTCATCAGTAATAAAAGTTTTTACTCTTTCAATAGAACAACAGGGGGATACAATAAAAACATAATCTGTGTGGTCTGTAGAAGTTTCATTCAGCTATATTCTTCATCCAGTGTGAATCAAGTGATTTTTACTATTTGGCTGACAGGAGATGTTGGAATATAAGTAATCATATAATTATATATTTCTGGTAAAGATTAAATTAACATATGCAAAATATAGGGAGGTACTGCTCTCTATGCTATGTATGTTTATCTAAGACAAAGCCATATTGAAACCCGATGCTGGCATTACTTTTCCATTCTATCATCTACATGAGTTTCTGTGGCGGACATGAGACAGAACCTGGGACGAGCACAACTGGTCGCGACTTGCCTTGTCCCCGCCAAAAAAGAGCCCGTATTTGCTTAGCATGTAAAGCTACTGCAGTTGAAATGAGGAAGAGAAAAAAGCACTTACCACTCTGCCGTAATCCATCCTCGGCCAGATAACGTTAAAGAATGAGGGGGGACTGGCATCGCATTTTTATGCAATAACAATGCAATGCATTATGGGACATGGACGCAATGAATTATGGGATCACATGAAGACGCAAAAAATTATGGGTACATGAACAACTATAAAAACAACTACTTTTTTTAAGTCGGGGAGTTCTTCGAGGGACGTTCACGGTTGACGGCAAGAACGGGCAGTTAGTGTGATTTGGAGACAGAACTCAAGAAGGAACGACTCAAGGTTGAAATACCAGCTGGGAGAGCTTGAATTTACTTATTTCGGCATATTGATTCTTCAAAATGGAAGGCAAATCTTTGACGTCCATTTGATTCCAGAATTCATTCAGGCTAGTAAACGGATATGCCCATTGTTGAATGGATAGAAAATGTGAAATTGGTCTGCGAACTTTTGTGCCATGGACAAGATCGATAAAACAGATCTTGCCTTTTATTTAAAATCAAAGAAATATATGCCCTTGCTGTGTATAGACAACTCAGTGGAGAGCAGAGGGCAGACGAACAAATTAAAAAAGTGACTGCATAAGCGACTGACAGATTTAATGTGTTCGAACAATTTATGGGATGGCGTCTTTCCAACAGGGGAAACTGTGGATGAATTCCTGGCTGAAATGCATCGTTTAATGAAATTAGTAGGAGAACCGCTACCTGATCGGTGGATGGCATGTGCATTTGTGTCAGGACTAACACATCATGTTAGGCAGCTTCTCAAAGCTTCTTCCAGGATGGACGACATGAATCTAGAATAGATTCTGACCCGAAAGGCTAATGAATTATGACGGATGACGAAGGGTGCCAGGTATTGGCTGCCGATCCGTGAAATAACAACCAGAAGCTGAGGTTCCCCCTGCCAAGCCTGTTAGCAGAACGATTACCTGCTATTAACAAAAATATGACCCATGATATGGCGAAGAATTGTACACAAGGACGTCAGGAGAGGTCAAACAGAACGCAGAGGTCTGGCCACGACAAGCGGTGTTTTTCGATGCAACGGCATTGGACACATTTCCTCAGAATGACAGGGAACGTCTTGTTTTCATCTACGCCAGCCTTCTCCCCGAGCAAGTAAAAACCCGAAGCTACCCACCGTATAAGTATTTGTAGATGGAGTAGAGTGCACAGCTCTAGTGGATTTGGGATGCTCACAGACGCTGGTGAGCAAGACTGTGTCGCTGCTGGAAGCAGGAAGAGGTGGGAGTGTTGACTGCCGACGGAAGATTCCTGAAGTGCCGTGGATAATGTAAAATTAAGTTGGGCGCCGAGCAGATTCAGCCCGAACTGTTGAGGTTCTGGTCATTTTTAGGGCAGTTGCTAGGATTCGATCTTCTTCGGGATTGATGCAATCAAAGTGCTCGGAGGTGTTTACTTGACCGAATCAGGCGGCGCACGTTTCGAAACCTGAACACATGTGCCGCCATTGTTATCAACAAGCCTGACTTTAGAGTGACGTTTAACCTGAGCACAAAAAACGTGGACTGCATTGTGGAAGTGGGCGAGTGGTCATTCACCTAGCAAGTTGGTCAATAAAGTACAGGAGTACACAGTACCTGGCCACATCCGGGATGCATACGATGAAGAACTAGCACGGTGGCAGCGAGACGGATGGCTACTGCCATATCCCGAGAAAGAGCTTGTCCCACCCAAGGGATTAATTCCCTTAATGGCGGTCGACAAGAACACAAACAGAAGGTCCGGCCGGTACTTGACTATCGGGAGTTGAACGGCTTTGTAGACGCATTCACGGGCTGACGAGAGGTGTGTGCACAGAAATTACGAGAATGGTGACGAAAGGAGCTGACGATCGCTGTTGGATTTGAGAAATGCGTATTTACAGATTCACATTGACAAATTGCTATGGCCGTTTCAAACAGTGGTCATTAAGGGCAAGCGGTTTTGCCTTTACGATTTGGGTTTTGGCCTGAATGTGGCAACACTTGTCGCGAAGTCAGTGATCGACATGATAACGCCCCAGGATCAGGACATTAAGAGTGCCACGCCGGCATACATCGACGATATCTTCATAAATGAAGGCCTAGTTTCTGCAGCGCCAAGAAGACAGCACTTTGCAGATTACGGGCTAGTCTGTAAAGATCCGAGCGATTGAGAGACAGAACTAAGGTCCTGGGTCTGCAAGTCTGGGAAGAAAGCAACTCCCTTCGATGGAAGGGGAGGTCAGGTTCCAGAAATTGCTCAAAAGGTGACCCGCCAAGGTATTTTCCTTGTCGGGGAAACTTCGTGGGTCATTTCCCTGTGTGCGGTTGGCTTAGGTGGCAACTGCATTTATTAAACGTTATGCAAGTACACTAACCAAAGGATGGGATGACGAGATAAAGGATGCCCCTCTTGGACGTATGCTGGAGGAAACAGTGGCCAGAGTGCGGGAATCAGATCCTGTCGGCGGAGACTAGTGTGTGAACGGCAATGAAATGACAGTTTGGGTGGATGCAAGCTCCATGACCACGGGAGTAGCACTAGAGGTGAATGGGAGCGTCGTGGAAGATGCTTGCTGGTTGCGTCCAACCAATGATGCCAAACACATTAATCTTGCTGAGCTTGATGCGGTGATCAAGGGCGTGAATCTTGCCCTGCAGTGGCAGGCACCAGTTATGCATGTGGTCACCGATTCAGAATGTGTGCATCGGTGGGTGTCTGACACCCTGACAGGAAGGACGCGCATGAACACGAAGGCAGTGGGTGAAATGCTGATGAGGCGACGCTTAGAGACACTGCAAGCTTTGGTGGAGGAGTACGCACTGACTGTGACGGTGAAATCTTGTCAGAACCGCGCTGACAGCCTCACCAGAGTGCCACAACGCTGGTTGGAGATGCACAAGAAAGGAGGAGAACCGGTGCAAGTGAGTTGTGTCACTGCAACGAGCCAGTTGA